GAGTCAGACCATCTTGGATTTGAATCCTATTTCTGTCTTTTACTTGTGTGATGATGGGCTTTAGCATCTCAGATAAGTTTCTGCCTCTCCAAAACAAAATTTACAATGCCTTACAGGGTTATAGCAATAATAAAATGAAATAATATATGTAACATCTGACAACAGAAGGCAAGAAAGGTGGTTATGTAAAAGGCATCTAGGCATTTAGATACACCAAAAATTCTCTAATTTCATGTAATAAGAGTTCCTGACTAATTTCACTGCTTTATAATGAGCCATTTACTTTAACTCCGTTCTTATTTTTTGCATGTTTAAAAATGTTCTTAAGTGATTTTAAAACAACTTGGGTTTACTCTTATTACTGCACATTTCCTCTAACATTAATCTACCCGCTTACATTGCTTTAAAAAAGAGGACTAAGGTCCACAACCAAGTCTAAGGAGTAGATGTGGTATATCTGGTATAAGAAAAGCATTCCAGGGTTAGATATGCAGCTCTTATGCAGCCTCTGGAGACTACTTCTTTTACATACCACATTTTTCTATTGCCTTCTTCACAGAAATAACCCTTGACCAAGAAAATGGGATACAACTGCAAAAGCCATGCTTTCTAACTTACAGCACTTTTGAATGCTCCCATTTTTTAAATGCCCTGTATTCTTCCTCAAAAGAATCCGTTCTTATTAGCTGTCTTGCCATCCCATCCTCTTTCCCTTTGGAATGCTAACAGCCAGTGTCAAGGACTGATCAGCAGACAGCATAGGCAAGCGGTAGCCTATGTTCTTTTTTCTGTTGTTGAAAGTAAGACCAATCTTTTCTTTCCATATTTTGAAAACTTCAAGTCTACAAGTCAATGGCCATTTCTGAAACATTCAACATAGTATGTTTGATGAGTACAGAAGACAGGAAAGAATATCAATAACAGAATTACTTCCTGGTTGAATTTTTTTTTTTAATCTAACAAAATGGAGTTATTATTGTGCATTGAAAAATCATATAAGGAATGTTGGTTAACCAGTCACCCCTGCCAAATCAGATATGAAAGGAAAACAAAAGCTGGCAACAATTCTGGCTCTGATATTTCTCTTTCAAAGTTATATTTAATAAGGTTAATCTTTAAGAATGCATTAACTGTCTTACCTGATTTAAAATAGAGCTTGGAGACAATTCATAACTACAAAACTTACAAATTAATGTATAACCAACTTACATAATTACCTTTATTGTTTTGTAAAATCACCAACATTCATTTTTAAAAATATTTACTGACAGGTGATGTTTCCATACTTCTCTACCAAAATGTCACTACATTTTATTTTTAATCTAACAGCTTCTAAAAGGAAGTGAAAGCTGTGGGTTATAAGATGATATAAAAGCAGCCTATGAAATAGCTTTGCTTTTAAACAAAAACGAACATTAACAAGTACAGCATATCTTGTTCTTTCATGGGACCAGCAAATTGTTAGTTAGGTTTTTTTGTTACAAAAATAGGATGGAGTAATTATATCTACCAAACTCACAATAGCCTGTTCAATGGAGAGTAACACTGTAATTTTTCTTCAAAGACAGTAAATAGGAAGAAAGAGCCCCTAATTCTGTATTATAAGGAAAAATTCCAAACCCTTGGGCGCCACTTACAGGCATAAAACTTTCACTGATTTCAGTTATTACCCCAAGAAAAGGACAGACTTTAAATCTTCTCTTTTTAATGAGTATTATTTATAGTTTGTTATGTGTTATATTTATATTTAGCAAACATATTTTATATTCTCACAATTTCTAGATCCAAGGATCAAAGATTGAAGGAAATCCTGAAAATAAAAAACAGGATTATCTTTAAAAAAAAATACAGTAAGTCTTTAGACAGAGTTCTTTAGACCCATACTACTACTGAAATACAAACATATTTCAAAATCTCAATGTTAGATTTTTCTCTTTAAAAGTATGAATGTAATTATTGTTAAAAAGGTAAAGTTTAACTAAAATTTTACTGAATTGCTAATATTCAGAGTATATACCAACAGATTCAAGTAAATTTCAACTCCACTGGGGGGGGGGAAATCGCTATTTCAACATTTTATTATGAAGGGAATCCTTAGAGATGACATTTGGGTGAACAAATAGTATTCTGGATATGAAATTCATTAAAAAATGATTAGACTGAGTAACACATTATTTCATATTATGTGCAATTATAGTCCAAGCCTTAAACAGGGGGAGGGGGAAGACACCTAGGTTACACAATGAAAACATAACAGTAAGCATGGATTACTCAATCCCTGAATTCTATCTGCCTCCCCTGGAGTTTTATTTTGTGTGAGACAACACTGACTTTCTATACATTCTTTTTACAGTGGTTGTTCTGATACTATATTCACACATAGCTCATTAAAACGACTAGAATGGTAAATTATTATATCCTTAAAGTTGATCTCACTGAGAATACACAAGACTAATTTCTCAAATTTGAGGTTAATATTTTAATTGGATCTCATTTCTGTAACAACTGCCTTAAAAAATTATTCTAGGTAAGTTGTAATACAATCTGCAAAGCAATTACACGTAGGGGATGCTACCTCTTGCTAGATTTACAAGTACATATAGAAAACCAATAGTCACATATCCCCTTTCCTCCTTTCCTCTCAATATTACCACTGTGCAATACTGAATTTTTTTTAGGGTTATTGGGGGGGGGGGGAGGGAAGCAATTTCCAAAGTAACAAACGAAGTGCAGTTTTAAGCAAATAATCAAGTTTTTGACATATTTCAAATAATTAAACAAAACCAAGGATTCCAACTGTCCAACTCGTGTCTCACAAGGGAAGCAAACGTAAGGACCCAGTCCATAAAATATTAATAATAAAGGTCAGTGAATTCTGCAGGACAACATATGACTATCACAGAAACATTTCCAAAAACTCAAAAAATCCATTAAGATAGTGCTCTGTATACACTAGTCAGAATTTTAAAACAGGTATTACCGTTGTCACACTTAAAAGAATTTCCTTTGCCAGAAAAAAATTTCCAGTTGCCAAAAAAAAAAAAAAAAAAGACGTTATGAAGCGCTGGCCTGAGTTACCTCACACGAACGGTACCGCACAGGCACCCAGATTATGTGCGTTTAAAGTTCACTGCAATGGCCCCCGGAATCAGCTGGCGGCTCGTGCAGTCCCGCACCAGCGCCGTGGTCCCCCAACCTGCCCGATCGGCTGCGGGGAGCAGCCACAGCCGCTTTGAAACTGAATGGCTAACACATCCGGTCCTGGCTCTTACACTACTCGGCCAAAAGCAACTTCAAAGGCCAAATTCAAACTCCAAACATAAGTCACTCAAGTTTTAGTGGTGCAGTCTGCATTCCCAAGAACACTCGGAGCCCCTTGAGGGTCGTAATCAGAAAACCCCCATCCTGTAAGGCTCCAGGCCCGTCAGAGTTCGCGCAGCCTATCCGTCCGCCAGCACCGTTTTGACAGGCGTTACCCACACGTCCGATCGATCCCCAGTACCTGCCAGGAAGATGTGCTGTCACCGCCGTGGGGACCTAGCTGAAGTCTCCTCTGGCTCACGGACCCCGTCCAGCTTCGGGCTGGGGATTCCCACCTACCCCGCCCATGTTTTGACCCCTGCCTGCAAGTAAACTCAGGCCTCGCTGTCCGGGGACGCCGTCCCTGAGTTGGAGCTAGCCCCCCAACTCGGCCCAGAGGACAACGCCAGGATCTCACGCCAGGCTCCTCCCGGAGCCCCACAAAGTCAGCCCCGACCTCCCCACCTCATCTCCACCGGTCTCCTCAGCCACTGGCAAGTCTGTCACATGTCTACAAACAATAACAAACTCTCGGTTTGTCCGCGCCCCGGGTCCCCGTCCCGCCCCCCAGAAGAAGGCTGGGGCGCCGCAGGGGCGAAAGGGATGCCAGCGGGCGCGAGTCCCGGCCAGCAGCGTACACCTTCTGCGCTGAGCCCCGTGACGCCGAGCGCGGTGCCCGGGTTCATTCATTGCACTCACCCGCCCGTCCCCTGAGTCCCCTCCGCGCCCCGGGCCGCGCAGCTCACCCGGCAGGGACCGCTGC